TAAAAATATACATACATACATACATACAAACAAACAAACAAACATGCATACAAACAAATATACAAAAGCCACGAAACAAACTCATCAACACGAACAATGCAATATATATGGCTGACTGCATCTCAGCGTGTAACATTTGAACTGCACTGTAAAATATTGAAATGTTTTTATGTTTGTTTGTTGGTGTGTTTGTATGTTTTTCTGTATTGTTTATTTATTGGTTTGTTTGTTGGTGTGTTTGCATGTTTGTCTGTATTGTTTATTCTTTAGTTTGTTTGGTTCTTTGGCTGTTTTATTTAATTTGTTGTTTTCAGTAGCTGTGATTTTTGCTATTTTTGTTGTTGTTTTGGTCTATTGTCAGCTAAACTTTATGTTGTTGTGTTATAATTGTTGTTGTTATTATTGTTGTTGTTGCTGCTGATGTTGATGGCGTCATTATTATTATTATTTTTATTATTATCAATTTTGTTGTTGTTCTTGTTATTGTTGTTGTTTTTTGTAATTGTTTTTGTCGTTGATCCCAAAACAACTACAATTGCGATGCGATGTAATAGAGTGATCGATTGAGTGACGGATTGATGAATTGGATGAATGATGAAAGCACAGTACGAATGAACGAGCAAACAAATTAACAATTAAAAAAATAAATGAATGTAAGATGGATGGATGGAAAGGTGAATGAATGGATGGGCTAAGCCGTTACCTATAAATTCTATCAATTGCAGAGTTAATTGAAATTAACGCATAAATAAATGTTAAATTGAGAAAAACAGATCAAAAATGTATGTATAGATGTTTGTCTATATGTATGTATGTATGTTGTTTGTATTTATGTATGTATGTATATATGTATGTATGTATGTATGTATGTATGTATTTATGTATGTATGTATGTATGTATGTATGTATGTATGTATGTATGTATGTATGTATGTATGTATGTATGTATGTATGTATGGGTATGATTTTGTTGGTAAAAATCGGTCTGGTAAGCACGGTGGTGGAATCGGTTTGTATATTGATAACGATATTACGTATAAAACAAGAGACGACATCAATAGCATTAGCAGCATAGAATTATTCAGCATAGAAATAACAAACGATTGTTCCAATAAAAATGTAATAATTGTAATAACATATCGGCCTCCTACCTATGACGCAAATATATATCTTCAACAAATCGAACAGGTACTACAAATCATAAGTCTAGAGAACAAATTAGTTTATCTGATCGGTGACATGAACATCAATTTACTTGATGCTGATTCAAATGCCAGCAAATTCCAACTTCAACAATTATTAACATCATACAACCTATCAACTTTAATAACAACCCCAACAAGAATAAGTTTAAATAAAAATTCAGTCATTGATAACATTTTCACGAGCGAACCAAATGCAGTAGAATTACGTGGTACACAGGTATGTGATCTTTCGGACCACCTACCAATTTTTATAATTGTAAATATGAAGTCTAACAGAATCAAGAACCATTTTCTGAAGGAGAAATTATACTCGTTTACAAGTGAACGAATCAACAGACTGAACAAATATTTAATAAACATGGACTGGTCAAACGTTTTAAACTGTGAGGATGTAAATGTCGGGTTTCAACGATTCATAGAGATTTTTGTGAAGAACTTCAACGAATGCTGTCGTATTTCATCAGTAAGAAAAATTAAAAAAATATCACGTGATAAACCTTGGATAACTAATGATCTTAAAATAATGTTAAATAGAAAAACCAAACTGTATTCAAAATATCTAAAAAATTCGAATATTGAAAATCTAATTGAATTAAAGTCAATTAGACAATCTTGCATCAAATTTAAAAATAAACTAAAAAAACAATACTACAGCGACATCATAAAAAAGAACATAAAAGATAACAGAAGAACGTGGTCGATTATTAAGAACATTATCAGCACAAATAAAATCACCAATACCGTCACATCAAACAGTGAAATTGTTCGTTCTCCTGCGGACGCCTTAAACGATTATTTCATCGGTATAGCTATAAAACTAGGTTCATCTTTCAACAATTCAACACTCTGGAAAAATCACCTCACTAATAAACTTCAAAACTCGTTCTTCTGTCTGTCGACCTCAAGCGATGAAATAATTGCAACAACCAGACTTCTCAAACCAAAAACAACCAGTGGATGGGATGGCATTCCTATGAAAATAATAAAATCTACCATACATTCAACAGCTCACATTTTGGAAATCCTAATTAACCTTTCTTTCAACTTCGGCACATTCCCACGATGTTTCAAAGTCTCAAAAATTGTACCGATTAAAAATGATGAGGGATGCAATGATTTAACTAATTTTCGACCCGTTGCTCTTTTATCAAATTTTTCGAAAATAATAGAAAAAATAATGTACAAAAGGCTAAATATCTTTTTCAAAAAAAATTCCATAATTAACGATTCACAATTTGGATTTCGAGAGAAGTACTCGACTGAGCTGGCAAATAATAGAATTGATCAGAAAAATAGGGATCGCAGCAGAAGACAAAAAATACATCGTAGGCACGTGCCTTGATCTCTCGAAGGCATTCGATTGCATCAATCACAACATCTTGCTGGCGAAACTGGACCATTATAGAATACGTGGCTCGCAACTGAAATGGTTCAGAAGTTACTTATCGGAGAGAAGTCAATTTGTTAGCTGGCAGGGTACATGCTCGAGCGAAAAATTGAACCAAATTGGAGTACCTCGGGGCAGTATTTTGGGTCCATTGCTATTCATTGTCTTCATCAACGATCTCCCGAAAGTTTCAACATTCTTTGATTACATTTGCTTCGCAGATGATACTAATCTATTCAGTACAGGCAAAAACATCGATGAACTCATCTTGAAGACTAATAGTAAAATTAAAAAGGTCGTCTCATGGTTTGAATGTAATATGTTGACATTGAATAGCAGAAAAACTCAAATGATTATTTTTGGCCCAGTCCAATATTTAAACTACAAGGAACCATATAAGATCGTAATAAATAATTCGGATATTCTCGAAAGCAAAACTGTTAAATTTTTAGGAGTAATATTGGATCAAAAATTATCGTTTCAACAACATGTTCGATATGTTTGCACAAAACTAGCAAGATCAATTGGTCTATTAAATAAAATAAAATTTTTCTTGCCTAAAAGAATTCTTAACATGCTATATAAAGCCATCTGTACTCCATATATCTCATATTTCTTTATTGAGGTCAAATAAATTATTTCGTTTCGTTTCGTATGTATGTATGTATGTATGTTTGTATGTATGTATGTTTGTATGTATGTATGTATGCATGTATGTTTGTTTTGTGCATATGCTTGCAAGTGTATATACATATTAATCAAGTCATCATCAGTGAGCAAAATATAAATCATTCTCGTCGTTTCGTCATGTCATTAATTACAACAGTCATCATCATCGTCGTCGTCATCATCATCAAAATCATCAACATCATCATCACATCAACATCATTATCATCATCATCATCACAACCAACATCATCATCATTATCATATCAACATTATCAGCATCATCATCAATACCAACATCATCATCATTATCACATCAACAACATTATCATTATCACCACAACCAACATCATCATCATTATCATATCAACATTATCATCACCATCATCAATACCAACATCATCATCATTATCACATCAACAACATTATCATTATCACCACAACCAACATCATCATCACCATCCTCATCATCATCGTCAGCACGGTGGCCAGAATGGAATTAACTGAAATCACGTTTGACATAAAAATAAAATGGCTGCATAGCAACTTTCACGCACGTACATCACTGACCGTCACTGGCATCAACTTATGACCGTGACATCCACATCTGTCCCATTGCATCACTATAAAACATCAACAACATTAACCTCAACGATGGTATAATCCATACAAAGACGTCATCATCTCTCCTTACATTAACAACGACAACATCAACCGCACTTACGTCAGAATAAAAACAATAACATCTTCTATGACATCAACATCTTTTCTTAAATCAGCTACAGCAACATCCTTGATCACACCAGTACTGAAAAATACACCAGCACATCTCTCACGACATCAGCGCTACAATACATCAACATTAACCATAACATCAATATCTAACGATACACAAACAACAACAACAATAACAACAAAAACATCAGCTATAATAGCAAAGAATAAACATCAACAACAATAACAACAACAACAACAACAACAAAAGAAAGAAAACAGCAGTAACAACAACATCAACAAGGATATGAATACTTAAACTACTACATCTTTACATTCCATTACATCATTACATTACATCATTACATCACTCCATTACATTACATCATTACATTACATTACATCATTGCATTACATCAACAACCGTCACATCCATAAATTGACATGAACGGAAATCATCATGTAACATTAAACGCATGACAGCACAGCAACCGACCAGCCAGCGGCATGAAATTTTTATGAGACGTTTAAATGTAAACTTTAATTTTATTTCATTTTCATAACCATGCGATAAAATTGCGCTACATAAATGAACGCCATCTAACTGGG